GCTCTGGTTCTCTAACACCTGAGTTGCCGAACTCCTGGCTGCTGGATCAAGAGCTCAGCAGCCCTGTGGCTTCAGCTCTGCTCCCTGCTTTTTTTCTCTTATATTTCTGGTTCATGGAGGTTTTTGTCTTGTTTTTGAGACTGGCGATGTCTATTATTGCTGTGCATTTGGAGCAGAACAGAGGAGTACTTTGAAGCGTGAACTTACTGTGCCAACTTGACTGAAGGTTTTTTAACTTGAAAATGACTTAATCAGATATACTGGTTGGGATACTTCTCCCCTCCCTCCCTGGAGACATTGTGGAGGGTAGATTGGAAGGGAGACTAAAGATAAGTAAAAAATTTTGAACACCACAGGCAACAAATTATCAGGGCCTGAACTAAGAGAAATGGAGAGGAGAGAATGGATTTAGAAGATGTTTAGTAGGTACGATCTATAGACATAGATTACTGACTTTGAGGAGGTGAATGTTCATATTTCTGGCTTAGAATGGAGGTAAAATTCACTGAGAAAGGAATATAGGAAGACGAGTAGATTTTGGTGGGTCAGTGGGTGGGGAATGGAGAGAGGAGTATTAAGATGTTTTATAACTGCTGTTTGAAGCCTAATACCTGCTTTTCTAAAAGTCTGTATATGTCTTCCCTGCTGGTACACCTCAGTGTCCAAGATCTTTGAATTTATTATATTTCCAAATCTCTTTACTTGATGTTCAGTTGTGAACTTATATGGACTCCTCCCCTGCATTTGGGAAATTTTTCCTCAGGGTATTCATTCATTTATTTAACAAACGTTTCTTAAGTATCTCTTAAGCAAACAAGTATAGTTCTGGCCTTCAGGAATATTATAGTCTAATGGAGGAAAAAGACATTTATCAAATAAACAGACAGTTACAAACTGTGGAAATCCTATGAAAGGCAAGTGTAGGTGCTATGCGAGGGTGTGACAGTGGGGCCTGACCAAGTCTGAGGCCCTGATGTATGTGTGGGACGAGGTGGAAGGGGGTTGTTAGCTCTCAGTAGAAGGCTTTCCTGAAGAAGTGAATCTTTGCTCCTCCCTCTGCCTGGCGCTCTGCCTGTATGTCTGCAGAGCTGGCTTCTTGCTGTTAAGACTCAGCTGATAGGTTACTTCCTCAGTAAGACTTTCCTTAACCACACCCCAAATTAATGTTTATCGTGTTGTTCTTCTTTATTTCCTTTAGAGCGTTTATTTTTATCTGAAATTATCTTGTTTAGGGACCTAGTCTCTTTTTTTCCTCACCTTTGCCCCTACTGCTTAGAGCAGTTCCTGAAACTTGTGTTCAGGAAACGATGAAATGACTGCATGAGTGAACATCCCTGGGCGGTCGTCTGTGCAGAGTGGCTCTAGTGATTTGTATGTCCTTGTGCTTTGCCTTGAGTTTGGGAGGACTCCTCGAGCTGGCCTTCTACTCGTTCATTTTTCTATCCTGTTGATCCTCCCCTCACTCTGCTGTGTCTTTCTTTTTTTTTTTTTTGTGAGGAAGATCAGCCCTGAGCTAACATCCGTGCTAATCCTCCTCTTTTTGCTGAGGACGACCGGCTCTGAGCTAACATCTATTGCCAATCCTCCTCCTTTTTTTACCCCCCTAAAGCCCCAGTAGATAGTTGTATGTCATAGTTGCACAGCCTTCTAGTTGCTGTGTGTGCGACGCGGCCTCAGCATGGCCGGAGAAGCAGTGCGTTGGTGCGTGCCTGGGATCCGAACCCGGGCTGCCAGTAGCGGAGCACGCGCACTTAACCGCTAAGCCACGGGGCGGCCTTGCTGTGTCTTTCTAATGGGTGTTGCCAGTGGTAGCGTCCTACCCTCTGGCCATAGTGATGAGCAAGTGACTTTCAAGCTGGGCCAATCACAGTCATTCTCCTGGATTTTTCAAATTTTAACGAAGGAAGAGGGAAACTTCTCAGGTGGCAGAGTGTGAGATGTGAATCTGGAGCTGTCTGTGGCCATATTCACATCAGATTGAAGAAGCCAGCTGCAAGAGGAGGAAATAAAAGCATTACACAGAGAGAAGCAGAGATGGGAGAGGGAAAAGAGTCCTGGGAGTTTTCCGGTCTCTGCTTCTTTTGTACCTGAGGCCCAATTGCAACTCCTGGTTTTCTCATGGCCTTCGCCTTCGCCAGTTCAAATCGAGTTTCTGTCACTTATAACCCAAAGATTCCTAATTAAAACAGTATATAGCTTTATTTTTACTTTGACCTTCAACTCAGCTAACAAGCTTTTCATCTTGGTGTGTTTTATATAATATCTTTGGATATTGATCTGTTCCATAGTTTAATTTCTTATTTCAGAGAATCCATGTTTTCTCCCTCCCTCTCTCTACCTCCCCCTTCTGCCTCCCCCTTTTTTCTTGCTTTCTCTTTTTCAGACACAAAGCAGTTGCTGCCTAAGTTTATCCTATTTCCAGTACTATTCTATTTTAGTCCTCCTTCCTTTCTTTTCAGAAACATATTGGTTAGAAGTGAGTAGATGCCATCTTATTATTGCTTATTCTTGAAGCAGATTTATTGGGTTCTTGGATTTTTTCACTTTCAACTTGGATGCTTTAGAACAGCCAGGTTCCTCCGCTCCAGCATCTGAAGGGTGGTAATGGGGTAGCCAGGGCTGTGGGCAGCCTTGGGTGGGAAGTTCATCTCCCTACTTTCTGTAAACTGCTGTGGCCTGACCTTCCTGATGCTGCAGACTGCCACCTCAGGGAGGAGCCCGCATGTTTCAGGGAGAAGTCCTCCATCATTGCAGCTGGCTTTCTGCTTGATGTACCTGCTGGTCCCTTTGAATTGTTGCAGCTGCCCTCAAATCCCATCAATCCATGTAGACTCCAAGTAGAATATTAATATTCCACATCTATCCCATAATTTCTAGTTCTAACCTTTTCTAATTAGGGGTATTGCAGTAAATGTTTTAGGTCAAGCAGCTTTCTCAGGCAGCTAACTTGTAAATTGGCATTCAGTATCTTTCATCCATCTGGTTCCACTTGTATTGTGTCAAGGAGAAAATTGAGACTTTTCAGTAATCTGCTCCTTTTATCGATTCATTCACTCAGTAAATAGTGATTGAGCATGTACTGTGTGCCCATCACTCTTCTAGACACCAAAGATACTGGGTGAATGAGAGTCTCTGCCTTCAAGGAGCTTATATTCTAGGTGAGGAAATAAACAAGTAAACAAATAAATATATAATACAATATTAGGTGTGATAAATGCTGAGGTGAAAAATAAAGCAGGACAAGGGAATAGAGAGTGATGGGGGTGGGGCTATTTCATAGAGAGTGGGCAGAAGGCAGGCTTCTCTGAGGAGGTGACATTTGAGTAGAGACCTGAATGAATCAGGGATCTAGCCATGCAAAAGAGTTACTGGCAGAAACAAAAGCCAGCACACAGCTCTAAGGAGGTAAAGAGTGTGGTGGGATTGCAGAATAAGGAGGCCAGGGTGGGTGGAGAAGAGGAGTGAGGCAGAAAGTGGAAGCAAAGGAGCTCCTGAAGTTAAGAATGGGAAAACAAGTTTTTCACCATCCCCGCTGCACACCCTTTGCCCTGAAAACAAGCTGTGTCAGTTATCCAGAGGAAGGTACTATCTGGCATGTTGTCCCCAAAGGCTGATAGTCACAGCAGGCTTGTGTTGTGTGACACTGAGTGGTAGCCCAAAACACTGGAATTTTTTGGTTGTAGACTATAAGCTAATCATAGGAAATTAAGAGTGTTTAGAATGAGAAGGTTTGAAGCAGTTATAAAAGAAGTTTGGAAGGAAGAAATGATTAAGCAGTAAGGTTAGATAAAATAATCTTGGAAGAGATAGCAGCTTGAGCAAAGGTTTCTGGCACTGTCCATCTCAATCGACTGGCAGCTAGAGAACATTGTTGGCCCCCCTCGTCTAAATATACCCTGAATTTGGCCATTTCTCATTCCTTCTACTACTAGTAAATTATGGTTGGAAACATTAACACTTTAATTCATCACACTTGGAGTTCAAAATGAACATGGTAGAGGATCTTTAGGGACTTTTCAGTTTACTTCTAGAAGCAGCCTTGGGAATAAATAAGATGTTAATGTGAATTGGTCCCCAGATGTGGAGAGGTAAGGGATTTCCTTTATAATTTCTCTTGGGAGAGGATTAAGCGTAATAATACTACCATATATTTGAATGAGTATACTTTTATATCTATGAATTAGACTGAACAGATATGCTTATACTGGTTTTCAGACAGGAAACCCAGGCCCAGACAGACCACCTGACTGGCTCAGAGTCACGCAGATGGTTAAGGGCAGCACCATGGCTAGAATTCAGATCTTAGACTGTACTCTGGTACTCTACTAATGGCATCAAGTTGTTATGATAGGATGTTATGTCAAAGAAAAGCCAATTGCCCTCCCTTCTCTTGTTCCAACTCAATTGTACCTCTCTAAGGTAACAGATAATGACAATCTTGTGGGTACACAGCTGGCTGTGTGCCTGCCCATCCATCCATTCATGCATCCATTCATGCATACCTGCATGCATCCATCATCCATCCTTGTATTTCTCTACTTCTCTCTTCTGTATACATATATAGCAGTTTATTTCCCGTGCTTCACAGATTTGAATCATGCTGTGCTTATCACTTTAAATCTTTAGTCATATGCCACGGTCATTCATCTAGGTCAGTACATCTAGCTCTAATTCATTACTCTTCTTTGTGTGCCTATATTGTTTGATTTATTGCATGGTGTGTATTGCTTTTAATAGGAAAATACAATAGCATATTTTAAGTGAAAAATATAATGCCAATATATGATGTGATTTCATCATATTATTATTTACTTCTTAAAGTATAAGAAAAGCAGTACAGTTATTGACAATTCTAATGAAATTTAGGTTTCCCTCTATATTTCCTACAGGTTTTTTCACTTTGCTCACATTTTCATTTTTTCCTAATTTTCTTTAGAGTAAAAATCAGTTGTAGCCTAATTAATATTTTCTTTACTAAGCAAATTTGATGTATTTTTCAGGTTATTATATCCGGGAAAAGTCTAAGCAAGTCATAACATTGCTGATGGATGAGCAATTACTGCATAAAGAGAGGGAAGTAGCATGTCGGACAAGACAGCGTACCTGCTACTCTATGACATTTCCTAAAAGATTACCTGGTACAGGTAACTCACCAACAGCATGTGCTTCTGCCCCCACACCAGAAATTCCTGCTTCAGAGAAGAAGCATAAGCTTCTTAAGGTCTCAAGGCTACGTAATAAAAGTATGTATAATGAACATTGGCCTAAAATGCAGTAGGCATCATTTAAGAACAACTGAAAAATATAAAACATTAGGTTTTAGTACTAAAGTATTAATACTATATTAGTACTACTATTACTATATTAGACCTCATACTATGGAAAAGAAAGATGAAGAATAATAGTAGAAAATTTTATGCTTATTTTCTGAATGCAATTATCTGGGATTCAAATAAACTGTTTTTGAGCTTTAAAGGTATCAAACTAGCATCATGATTCAGTTTTAAGATTTTAATCATAACTGGAATGTGAAGGGGAACTGTTTTCTGAGACTAGGGTCTAAGTGTGCGTTTGTGCTATTCGATCCTACAAATCAAGAAACTGACATTTTCTTATATGTGCCTCAAAATTCTGAAAGTGCTCTAAAACTCTTCCAGGACAATACTTTGTGTTATGTAACCCTTTCCTTTGCCTAAAACTTTAAGTCTGGACTACTGAACTTTTAAAAAAGGGTTTTATTTGTAATGTTACAATAGAAATCAGCAAGCAAATGAAATGATCTTTTCTACAAATTCGCTAAAACATAAAGAAATGTCATTTTGCCCAAACTTCTCCAGGACACACCCTGTTGATAAGTTGTGTTAAGGAATGGACAGTTGGAGGAAGCAAAAACATTAATGAAATGTGACTTAGATAATTGTCTCTTGAAAGGAGCTAAACTTTGTGCCATAAGTGAGGGGCATAGAAGGAGTAACATACAGCTACAAGTATTTTCAGAGGCTTGCCTCCTAGCCTTATCCTGTAAATCTATTAATCAAGATCCTGCAAGAGCTGCGGGTATTCATTATGAATAGATATCGCAAATGTCAGTTAAGTATGGAAATTTAAAAATGTTAGTAGTAACACCTACACAAACTAACTAAACTGTGAAAAATCATTAAAGTACTTTTCTGACTCAGTCAAGAGTTCTCAAATGTTCGCTCAGTTTGTACTTGTGTGCACTGGGAGATAGAAAAACAGTAAAGGAGGTAGCCGTTGTAATTATAATAGTAAATACCACACAGATGCTTCTAAAAGTAATGGAACCTCTGTCTTTAGGGTTCCCATTCCTTTGAAATAAAGCTCCAAAAGAGACACAGACCCATTCTGAAATTTCTCACGAAAGCTTTAAATTCAAGCTGACACAAAAAAGGAGTAACAGTAAAATAACCAATTCTGACTCATCCAGAGTTTCTTTGCCCCTTTTACTACTTCTCTGTTATCTTTCTTGCTCTTCCTGCCTCAATTTCTTTTCTCTTTCATTATAGACATATGTTTATTGAGTTTATTATTTGAAATCTGGATATCCAGCAGATATTTAGAGCTATAGCAGTGATTAAGACAAAGTCCCTTTCATCCTGGAGCAAATAGTCTAGTGACAGAGACAGATACTAAACACACATAAACAAAACAGATACAAAAGATTATGTCAGATAGTGACAAGTCCCATAAAGAAAAGGAAAGCGGTGTCAAGGGACAGAGAGTGACAGGGCTGGCTTTATTTTAGGTCCGGTAGTGAGGGAGGGCCTTTTGAAGGAGGTGAATATTTAAATAGAGACCTGAATGAAGGGAGGGAGCAATCCGTTCCAGGCAGAGGGAACAGCAGGTGCAAATGCTCTGAAACTGGAGCAAGCTTGGCATGTTTAACTGTAAGCTTAGGAAATGAGTCCCTAAATTGCTACAGAAGTAGCTCAACTCTGAGCCATTTTTATGATTCATACAAGGAAATCTAGTTTATTGCTTTATAGTCAGTGCTTTTTTTTTTTAACCCAAAATGATATTCCTCAGCTTTATGACATATCTTATTCACTAGACTGAGCTCTGAATGACTTTTGACTATTAAAAAATATCAATATACCTTCAAATGAGGAAGTTTTGCTACAATTTATTTCTTTTTGTACCATAAACATACATTGAGTACCTGCTTTTTTCTAGGCCTTGTAAGCAAATTGGGTATATTTCTGCTCTCATGGAGGTTATATCTAGTGATGAGTTTTCAGTCTGCTTCACAAAAAGATGTTCAAAAAGAGTTTTGGTGAGTGATGGCGTCATTGGAGTGAATCTGTAGTAAGAGTATTATTTAAAGTGAATAGTGAATGTTTGGATGTAAAAGCTGTAGTAAATTTGTTAAAAATCTGTTACATTAGCTTTAAATTTCGTTTGTCCATTTCTCTATATACACATAGATTCTAGATATATAGATGTGTGTGTTTGTGTTCAAAAAAGAGTAATTGGATTAAGTAAAGTTAGCGATACTAACCATTTCCATGTAGGCATTTGAATCTGAAGCTGAATTTTAAAGGAAGAATGAAAACTAACAATTTGGTGGGGGCATAGGAAAATAGCTTGTAGGGGGGCATTCTTAGTGTGACAGGAGATGTAGCAAATGAAAACTTGGTGAAGGGTGGATCAGTTATAATTCGGTGCACCCATAAGTGATAATAGTAGGGGCCATAAAAATGGTAGCGGCTTAAACATAATAGGAATTTCTTTCTCTTTTCTAAAAATAATCCAGAACTAAGTATTCTAGGACTGATATGGCTCTTCATGATGTCGGGGACCCAGGCCTCTGTCTGTTTTGTTGCTCCACCAAACTCGCATGTAACTTCCACTTCATGATCCAAGATAGCTGCTTGAGCTCCAGCCAAAACATTTGCATTCTAGCCAGTAGGAAGGAAGAGAGGTTGAAAATATGAATGCCCCTTCCCTTTAAGGACACTTTAAGTTGCTTATAACATTTTGGCTTACATATTATTGGTAAGCACTTAGTCACATGGACACTTGTAGCTGCAAGAGAGACTGAGAAATGTAGTCTATTTATTAGGCAGCCATGTGCCCAGATTAAAGTTAGAGACTCTATTGTTAAGGAGGAAGGAGAGAATAAATAGCGGGGACAACAAATAGTCCCTACCATAGTGGGAAAGAATACAAACAGAAAATGAATTAATCATGGTAATACATGGTTGTCAGACTAAATGGAATAGATAATATAAATTTAAATATGTAGAAAAATGTGGTTGAGAGTGCTTAGTGCCGTTCATAAAGGACATAATAAACGATATTTGGAAATTTCAATTTGATACGACTAGCAACTAGGAACCATTGTGGGTCTTGCAGAACAGAAGGGATGTTTAGCTTAGTCACAGAACTTAGCTTTCTTATTACTGAAAACAGCTGTTGGTGGAAGATAATTCTTAGCACTTTGTGTAGAAATGAAGGAGATACAAAATGGAGGGTAGCTTTGTAAGAGATAGTTGTTTCAATCCAGGCATCCAGGGCCTGCTCTAGGGTTGTTGAAATGAGGAAAAGGTAATGTTTAAAGACAGAAGATAGAAAGGAGGTGGGCAAGTACATGATGTGTGGGAGAAGAAAGAGAGAAATTGAAAATGACTCTAACATTTGAGTTAGAGAAAATGGAGGCAAGTGATGATACCGTACAGGTAAATTTCCATCAGAAGGATTTAAAGATGTCTCTAAATTATTTAGTTATAAGGAAATGTAAAATTGAATGCATTGCTTGAAATCTGATTCCCAGGCTTTAGGATCAGAGCTGAAACAGCTGTGTCTAGCTCTTTGTGGTAAATTTGCAAGGGAAAAAAGGTACTTTAGAGAAAGTGTTGTGCACACATCACTACTTCTACTCCTTTTTTTCTGTTCCTGGATGTTTTCCCCAAGTTTTAATTCTGGTAGATAGCTTGGGTAGTTTCTGTTTAGATGATTTTTATGCTTGAAGGAAGAGATGAACTGAAGGATAATTGCTCTTTGATGGCAAGACAGAAACTATATAAAGCATAGTTATAACTCAGCTTCTCTCAGCTATAAGCATCAGAGTTAGGTCCTTTCCTTAGAGGTAATAATTATAAAAACTATCACCAGAGATGTTGCTTACAACCGTACTAGCAAAGCATTACCTCTGTTGGTCATCCAGTCTTCCATAAAGAGCTCTTTAGTAGTAGTATTCTTTGCAATAGAACTTTACCTGTGTTAGAGAAGGATTACTCTGGTCTATATTAAATGTAATAGCATTCTATATCATGGAAATATTTTCCTAAAAATTGTGCATGATTCCTATTAAACCAAAAGTTATACTTCAAAGTAGTTGTCATGCTTTTATAAGTAAAAACACCAGTATTGATGTCACTTCCTACAGTAAACTTTGTACTAACAGACAGTTGATATAGAGTCATACTTGGTTGCCTTATCACATATAGTCTAGGTGGCGGGGCTTGTGGTGAAAATGGTGGTTGCTCATAAAATATGTGCATTGATGAATGTCAAGCAGTTATTTTTTTAATTTAAAAATAAACAAATGTATGAAAAAGAAAATAACAATAACTTGTATCCCTACCACCCCAAACTAACCACTATTAACATCTTAGAATATTTGCTCCCAGTCTGTTTATTTTTCTTCTTTTGTTTTTGTTTCAGAAAAATCACTCTCTTCTTGTAAAAACAACACAGCCTCATTATAAAGAATCAATCACTTCCAATCCCATTACTCAGAAATAGCCCTAATTAATATCAGAAGAACATGAATTCTAGACATATTTCTATCCATACATACATATAGAAAGGTGGATAACTAGAGATAAATTTTTTTTTATAAAAGTGGAATTGTACTAGATGCTATTTTTTACTAAAAAATATTTCAGGTCTACTTCTGGCAATAATACTTATTAGGAGCTCTAAGAAACTCATTTATCACACAATAACCAAGGACTGGAAATGACACACTGTTTGAGACATATCTGGCTTCACCAGAGGTATGGGAAGTCTCCAAGGATCTCTCCTTTCAAAAATTTAAATAAATAAATTAGATTAAATAAACAGAATTAGAACAGAGCATGTGAGCTGGGGTGACTTGGAGCTGGTGCCTGTGGGACACTGCAGGTGATGTAAGGGCAGCTGTCGGTAGTTAATAAAACAAGTTTTGGGCCTGCCTTGAGCATTGGGAAGGAACGCCTGGGATTACTATGCTGAACCC